TTACATACTTTCGATTGGACACTAGTATGTAACTAATGTAATGTGTTTAGTCATCTGTTTGGTGCAGACTTAATTCTGTCAGTCAGGTTTGCAGTGTGGCCAATCATCTAATGTCAGCAACTCGAAGTGCATCATGATGGCGAGCGACCAAGACTGGTGGCCATATTGCAAACATGACTGATAAAAATCCGTTGGCATCAAATGGAGGATTAGACACATTACACTAGTTACAAACTAGTGTCCAGTCAAAAGCTTTTGCAGTAATTTGTGTAATTATATGACTCATTTGCGTTATATTTGTTCTAGTTTCATATTTTTTAAAACAGCGATTTCCAAAGCAGTACCAAAATTCTGTATAGTGTAGAATATTTCTACTTCAGAGTATGAACTTTCATTTGAAAGTGTTCATCACCGTTCAGATATCCTCAGACATTCTACTGTAAAAACCACTTTCAGTATGAAGTGTAAATCGGTACAGATAATAGATTGCATCGTCTAATGTCTTTTAATCAGTTACTAAAACGTTTTTGTTGCTAAAACTGCTTTTATGGAATAAGATGGATACCAACATGATCACCAGAGTTTCAATCTTAGTCTCTATCTTAGTTTTACAATGTATCCATTGGTTTGCAGGAAAATATTTTTAACATTTAATACGAATACAGAGTTTAGTTGAATGCCATATTACTTTGTCGAGTGACCACGGTTCATAGATGACTGATCAACCTTTGAACGCTTCTTTTCTACCTAGAACAATGATTTTTGTCAATTATTGTTTTTTCAAGTATTGGTTTGTAGGGATTTTGTTTGATTGGTTGAAGGATTTCATCATGAGTCGACGTCAGTTAGAGAACCATCGGAAAACCTGCAGGGAGTACTAGACAGCTGTTTCCTCCGTCCTAGTTTGGAGCTCTTCGGGTTCGAGCCGTGGTGGGTGCGTTCTGATAAAAATCTCAATGGTTCTATAATTGATGTCAGATCATGATGAAATCCTCCAACCAATGATTGTGTTATTACCACTGTAAACAGTGTCCGTTAGAAATATCAAACTATGTTTAATGTTCGGGGTTCGAGCTCACGCCGGCGCACACTTGATATCTATGGTCGGCCTGCAAAATTTGGGCTACCGATATCCATGCTGAAAATTCCATACTTGTACCGAAAATACAGTGTAGAATCAAGCTGTAAATCAAAAAAAAAGTATTCTATAAAATATGCTGACCATTTGCATTGCATTATAAGTTGAAATAATAATTATATTTTTTCAGACTAACTAACTAGCTAAGCTACATCAGCAAGCTATTTCGCATTTGAATGATATTTATACCTATAAGCTTCATCAAACTTGCCCAGTTATACAATTATGTAAGAACTACGTTTGAAAGACTGACAGCTGCTTGCCAACATCTAACATCAAAATACAGTGCCGTACAATAGTACACCGCCCAATTAATTAGCCACACTGCACAGTTAATAAATGGATCTATAAGATTTCATTGCTTGCAGATGCTTCGACGATGTGTGGTCACGTAACCTGAAGTCAGTTGGTGGATGGTGACGTTTCGTCCCAAATAGGATGTAAAGGTTCTTTGTTATTTGAATATTTATGGTTAATGGTCTGCTTTTATAATAAACTTATCGTACAGTTCATTAATCAGCATACTGAAATGACACTTATAAACGAAATTATGTAGCGATAGTATTCTGTTTTTTTTGAAACCAACGTTAAATGAAATGTACCATATATTTTCTACTAAATACCATCATATTTTATCAATACTAAATAAGTAGGTAGGCAGTATAACCGTTTGGTTCATTCTGGAACGATTACTATTAAAGTGGCTGTAGATGGTGTTTTTACAGTCTATATACTGTAAGTATTGCTATTTATTGATTCCTAAAGTATATCACAGTGGCATTTTGCGCTTGATACACAGTTTTCGTCATCTGTTCTTTTAGTATTTTCATTTCACTTTTACTTCGTATTTCATCTGAGGAATGAAATGATGAAAAATCTATCGATTACAACTATTTTTGGGTTATGGTAATGTTCAGTTGTTCATTATGCAACATTTTACACATTAAAGCTACAGTTATATGGCTGCACAAACCTATTTATGGTTACCATCATACTTAAACATCAAGAACATTATTCTGTGGCATTACGAAGAGGCGGAAGTGTAGCTCGACCTCTTCCTCTGTGAGGCGAAAAACAACCTGCACAAGTCTCCACGAATCCAGCTGATCTGTACTGCTGAAACTTTGGCCAGAAGCTAGAATTCCATATGCAGAAACGTTTGTTTAACCACTATTTTCATAGTCCTGACCTGTCTGTGATAAGTTATTCTAGTCCCTATTTCTACTTTGATCCAAATTTTCGTTTTCTTTGTGCAATTTGGGTATCCGTCCCTTATTATTTCGATTGGTGTTATAATTATTTCTCTTTTGAACAATCTTCGGCATTAACCTACTTGTCAGCCTTTATTTGCATATTTTAGTGTGAATTTTTTTCAATTTCATGTTTTTGAAATCCTGACCTTGTTACGTAATGTTCTGACTGCTTAATAATCTTATTAATTTTATGCCCCTTTCTAGGAAGTATACATACTATGAACTAGTTTACAAATTATAGGACTTACCACTTTATGCTTAATTAAGGTTATAATCATGAATTGTTTTTACAGCAATTCACATTATTTTTAGGAAGTCATATATGTATACATATATATGATTTTTCCGAGTTGATCACGGATTGATATCAGTTAGAGAACCATTGAAAACCAGACACAGGGAGTACTGGACAGCTGCTGTTTCATCCCTAGTTTGGGAATCATCTTTAGTGCTCACCCATCATCAAGGTTCGAACCCAAGATCTGCTGGTTACAAGGCAAGCTCGTATAGCATTCAGCTACTGGGACACGATTCAAGGGCCAGCCCATGACTTCTAACTTCTATCAATTCGTGATTTAGCGCAACCCCAACCATTGCCGTTGGTGGGACATCCATCCTCACACGGGACATCTGGATGGACCTCACTGGTCATAACTTCTCACTAGAAATCCAGGAAACTACATCCTGTAGCAAGTCACTAACGAGAATCAGATTAATTTTCTATAGTTTAGTTTGTAAGGGTTAGTTATGTTTTTACGAGTTGATCACGGATTTTCAATGGTTCTCTAGTTGATATCAAGGCGTGATCAACTCGTAAAAACAAAACTAACCCTTACAAACCAAAATATGATATATATATATATATATATATATATGTGATTCAACATTTTGATAATAGATTTGTTGAAAATGTCTCTCTACTGAATCCCTTGTTCTCATTCCACACATATTTTAATAGGAATTTTTGTTGGACATTCATTGTCGACCTGAAATTATTAGTCATGATTCCAGGAGGTATACATTAAGTATGATATGACGTATAATGGATACCTAGTTCTTGTGAGCCGTAAATGACTTCCAAAGTAGTTATCCCTTCTACTAACGTCGATTAATATTTGAATTCAAGCGAGGTCATTCAGCTAACCAGTATTTACTCTTGAATATGACTGTAATTAGCGCTATTCAAAGAAAACAAGATGGTGCTAACTGATTATTTACTGCAGTCTCGTAACTCGTAAAATACGATAGTAATATAAATGTAACTCCACCAAAAAAACAACATATATCATCATGCCAGAGTTATGAACTGTTTAACTTTTCACTAAATTAAAGCGCACAGCTTGCAATACTTTTTCTGAGAAAATATACTTCGTCTAAAGTTACACTGAATCTAAACCAACTAAAGCATCAAAATTGCCTCACTACTTGTGTGAAACCCCAAATTTTCATATAAACCTTCTTTCAGTGTGTTAGTTTCATCTTTAGATTTACTTCGTTATTCATATTCAACATTTACATTTTTAGTTTGCTCACATCGGAGCATTTTGTGTTCTGTCTGAGTGTTTACCAGTTGATTGGATTGTAAACGCAACAGTTGTGTCAATCTATCTGCTGATCTTTCCTGGTCGTCTCATATCTTGATGATTTCTAAGAAAATATTCCGTCTTACCTTCTGCATCAAGAAGTTAAGACACTCTGGTATTACACAACCCTTACTCCTACAATTCGTTAACTCCTGTATTCTGCCTATTACTCTCTATTGTTCCCCCTTAGTTTTTCCTGGGCTACTGGAGAAAGACTATATCTTATTGCGCAGGATGTTAAAGGTTGTCAGCAGGGTAAGCAACGTGCTACTTGACCAGCTTGTTAATATTCTGGTTGACAGGCACATAGACTCATGTGAAAAATGGGCTAAATCCATTCTATCTATCTAACTCACACTACCCTCTCCATTCACAACTCTACCCTTGTATGTCATCAGGCAAGTAGACCAGAAGTCTATATAGAAAACTATATGCTCGCACTAGCAAGTACAAAAACTCAACCATATCCTACTTAGCTCGTGTTCTGTGCGATAAAGAAAGCATTAGGCGTGATACCTATAACTTACTGAATAGTCAGTAGAACAACTGGATCTCGTCTTTCCAGTTCATATCATTTATAGGTACAACGTTTTCTTTCTCTCTTTTTTCTGTTATGTGCTGCTTTGTTTCTTTCTTCTGTTTACGCCAGTAAATATGCTAGCATCTACTTTTCTAACACCTTCAAACACTAAGTTCAATTTTCGGCTTTGCTACCAACATGCCAATATGTTGTTGTCAAAACTAACTGAGATTACCCTTAATCTATGTAGAGCTTTATTTATTGTTAATGTACTAACTGGATGGAATACTGCAGTAGAATGCTGAGAATTCCATTCTGTATGACGAGTACTGTTTTGGGATAAAACAAATTTTTATTATTATAAGCCCGATCAAATGAAAAGGAGCATAGCTATTAGCTTAAGAAACTTTATGTGTATGAATGAGTAGAAATCAAAATTTCTGCAAGTATTCACTCTTCTTATAATCGCCTAATCATAATTGCGGTTTTTTTTAAAATCAATCTAGTAAAAAGTGAACCAGTCAGTCAGTGGGGAAATCAAACAGTCTGTCAAACTTCATTGATTAATAACCAGAATATACCACCGTATGGTTCCAATAAACTACCAGGCAGTACGAGTGAAAACACATCAAGTATTTGTCATAGCCCAGAGGAATTTTCAAAGTCAGCCACCAATAACAAAAATAACACTAGCAGCAATAATAATGATTTCAATGGGAATTTTATTAGCCTACAAAATTCACTGCATAAATCTCTTCTTTTACCTGAGGAGTCAGGATCTTCTAGAAGTATCTATCACTATACAACATCATTACCGCCAACTCTTGTAACTCAGACACAAACAACAATGCCAATGGCAACTACAATCGACTACAAACGATATGGCTGTAATACGCATGAGATGAACAATAAGTTCCATCAATTGGTAGGTTCTCTTTTATTTGAACATGAATAATTATATTAATATGGTTTTTATTCTATCAAATTTACAAACCGCGACTTGCAGTTTCAGCAGCTCAAGGTGAAGTTTCATCACAGTTCTCTCTGGAAACTAAAATCACTCAGGTCCTAATACGCTATCTGTTTGATATCATAAACGGCAATCACGAAAGCAAGCGCAACTGGAGGATGCTATGCACTGCTGGTTGATTGACACGAGTAGTTGACGTCACGTCAACCGGTAGTCCTTGCTAGCTAGACTGAAGTGATTTAAGCACCGGGAGATCGCTTCTGTTGTCAGGGTGGTTTGAAATAATTTGGCTGTCTGATCTGAGTCAGGCCTGACGCACCGCTGATGAACGAGCGGAACGCCACTTCAGTGTTTAGGTCACTTCGATGTAGCTAGCAAGAATTATTGGTTGATATGGATGGCATCCAACTAGTAGTATCGATCAGTCAGCAGTAGTGGTGCCATAGATATTCAGTTTTAATTTCCTATTGAGGTACTGCGGTTGTGTAATACGGGCGATGTGCTCCAACGGAATATGATTCTCACATATTCCCTTAGTTCAGTATGGCATTAAGAACAGAAAACGATATGTCTACTTGAACATTCTGTTTGTTGCTAGAGTCAGAATACTATTCTCACAGCTCAGTACTACGTTGGCAACAGAATACTATGTGTTTTTGAACATTCTAGCTCATGTCGTTTAATGTAAGCCAAAATCACACGCTCAGTAACTGGTTAAATGGTTCTCATGGCCCGCTTATATGACTATGTATGGTTTTCTATAGTCTTGGCAGACGTATAGAAGCTATCTGCATGCTAAATTTGTTGGCAGAGTTAACGATTTCATTGAATTTGGTGGCTGCTGGCTTCGTTAATATGGGCCTATTGTCACTATAGCGGCGCTATTCGTGCTACTTTTGCATATAATAATACGTTTGGCTAGTCTTGTATGCGAGATAAATTCTACTGGGCTTGTCTATGCAGTGCGTAATTGATTGACGCGATCAATGATCGGCGTAATAATGTTTACCTATGCATTACTGTGTATACTAACGGTGTGAATGATCCACCGAGGGAGAGGGCTCTCGAGTGGCTGCGCCACAGGATGATCCTGCATAGCGGTCTCGTCTCGCAAGAGGCAGGGATGGGTGTGTTTGGTTATCCTGACAACCAATACCCAGTCAATGGGTGTATCACTGCGTGAATAAACTGGTTGATCCTGCTAGTAGTCATATGCTTGTCTCAGAGATTAAGCCATGCATGTATAAGTACATACCTTAAAACGGTGGAAGCGCAAATGGCGCATTAAATCAGCTATGGTTCCTTAGATCATATATACTACATGCATAAATGTAGTAATTCTAGAGCTAATTCATGCAGTTATGTCCTGACCCGCAAGGGAACGGGTGCATTTATTATGTATATAAATATAAACAGCGGTTTGATCAGTGAGAAAGATACCTTGACTTCCGTGTCTTGCCTTCTATTGTTACAGTACTACTGCAAGAAAAATACATTACATTTTAGTGTGACAGTTGGTAGTTCCAATGGAAATATTACAACCAAAACACATGTACTGTAATATTACAGTATAACACTGTGTGATTTATCAAAATAAAATCTTATCCATAATGGAGTTATACTCTACCACAGTGCCCAAGTTTTATACGTATATCGGATACTCGCTGTCAATAAAGTTATGTAACTGACATTAATTAATTCATGATCAAACTTGAAACACGTCAAATCCCTACAAACTATTTCTTGAAAAAGCGGAGTAAACAGGCGCTACCTAGAACTCACTGTTGTTTAATTGGATAACATGAATTCTTTACCTTCAAAGTTATTTCGTCTCAGTGTTCGGAGGATATGTGGAAAATCTTTACTAATAATCGTTTTGTAAGCACATTGTGTAGACCGTTAAGTTATAAGGCCTTTTGCAGTGGTTTATTAATCCCACTTATTATTAACTGATAAAGTATGCCGAAAAATTACCATGAGGAAAAGATCACCAATACTGAAGTATCACGTGAATTAGTTGCAATTCCGAACCAACTTATTATTGATTTTATTCCTTTGCGTTCCAAGTGGAACTTAAGGCTTCAAGCTGGAGCTTTGAAATTTGGTTAGCGGCGGTTTTATTTTTATTGGGTGGGGTTTCTAACCTCACACCCAACCTTCCATATTTCTCAGGTTTACGACCGGCTAAGGGGGTGTGAAAGTGTGAGCCGGCTGGGTATCGAATCCCGGACCACGCATATAGTCGGCCAGCATTCTACCGCCGAACCACTGACGCACCAGCCAGATAACAAAAATTGCAACCACAAGCTTAACAATTTTCTTATCTTGATTCTTTTAAGGGGCTAACTGCCCCCACTATTTAAAGCGCAGTAGCCACTTGAAAATAGCATTAGTGAAAACCACCGATATATACAAATTTACAGATTTTGAAAACCACTTAGATAAACCGCATCTTCATTTTTGCTAAATTCATGAGTTTGATAAACAGCTGAAAATGTTTCAGTGAACAGAATATATTTAAACAAGTCACACTTCAGTCAGCAGACTTTACAACAGATATCGGATGCAATTTAACTACATAGACGGCGTAGAAAAAACCATTTTAGAAAAGTGAGAAATAATTAATAATGCTTATTTTACCCCAAGTGAGTCGGTGGCTTACAGGTAGGATACTCGTTAACCATCCATGTGTGTTTCGAGGCTCCACCCCTGACCTACGAGCTCTCACACCTTAATGAGCAGGTAATAAGACCGATAAACAGGGAAGTTTGGGCATGAGGCTGGCAACCCCACCCCGAGACTTCAAAGCTCTAGCTTGAAGCCCTATGTTCCGCTGGGGAAGTTAGGGAATAAAGTAAAAATCGTACCACAAAGAAATCTAAATTTATTCCGAATGTTCCCACGATGCTTTATAGACGAAATCCAGCCAATTCAAGTACTGACATCAGAAACCGAATAAGTGAAATTTCATTTTAAAAAATGACTAGTTCGTCAACCCATATGATATGATTATGAGCAGTAATAAATTGTACTCGAAACGTCATCAGTAAACATTACTGTATGACACTGTGAGACTTTATCAAAACAGATTTTACCCATAAGTGAATTATACTCTACCACAGTGCACAAGAAAGAAACTCAACATAACTTAAATGTATTAGTCATTTCGGTAATATTTCTAACAAACTAAGTAATATAGACAACCTAAATTACCAATTTGTCAAACTGATCTTGATTTTTGAGCATAATAAGTCGAAAAACTTTGTTAGTTTTTAATGCCCATGAATATCTCGCTAATATTCTAAGGCGCTTATTCATCAGAGTATTATTTTTTGAATAGAGGGAAAAGTTGCTTTAAACTTGAAATCCAGCTATCTAAGAATTCACCTGCTTCAATAGTGTCAATATTTCGTCAAAGATTTATTGCTTCACTAGATTTTTTTTAATGAATTTTCAACACCCCTTATAAATATACAACTCATTACCTAAGATTAAAACAGTAACTAATTTTACAGTCGAGTAGATGAACGCTTTTGTCTACCCTTCATCGCATAAGTGTTTTTAGAAATGGTATTTATCCTATCGAATAAGTAACTTTGCCTCTCTGATTTTCATTTGTTATCAGATGAAAAGTATTATCCCTAATAAGTCCTTCTTTTAATAATTTTTAACATTTTTTATAATCTATCTAAATGAGTTAAAATTGAATTTGAGAGAAAAGAACAAGAAGTTCAGCAAAGACAACTATCTTTTTGCCGATTTCATTCTCGAAAGCACATGTCAAGTGATCCACAACGGAAAACTCAGCGAGGCGTTTCGAGTAAACACAGGAGTCAGACAAGGGTGCTTATTATCACCAATGATATTCCTAATTGTGGTGGACTGACTGGATTATGCGTCAGACAGTGAGTGGGAAATGAGAAGACAGGAATATCCTGAACTGAGAAGAAGAAGAAGAACCTTGAAGACCTGGATTTCGCGCGTGGATGATTTATGTTTGATGTCACACACACAAAATCGAAGACTTACAAGCGAGCGAAAACCGACAAACTGGTCGAAGAATCAGCCGGTGAAGACAGGACTCCAAGTGAACATAGACAAGACGGAGGTTTTGAAAATAACCAACCAACCAGCAACAACAGCAGCAGCAACAAACAACACCAGTCACCATCAATGGGAGAGATCTGAAAGAGGTTACTTCATTCACTCACTTATCTAGCATTGAGCATTGTCTCAACTACAGGAAGTCGGAACGGACGAGGATGTCAAATCGAGCGAGAATCGGGAAGGCGAGCGAGAAACACATTCATCAACCTGAAACCAATGAAACTTGGAAAACTTCGTCACTCAGCCAACATCAACAACAAAATTCAGTCGGATTTTCAATACAAACAACGTCAAGTCAGTCAGTTCTTCTATAAGGATGGATCAGAAACTTGACGGGCGGGTCTCAAAGAATATTTCCACCATCAACCTGTTGCAGACCTTTATCAACCAACAACTGTCTTCGCTAGATCTTTACCGAAGATCACATGGCCGGGCCGGAAAGAATCACCAACAAGAAACTATGGCTGGGAACAAACAAACAAAACAAGAACCAATCGCCAACCAACAAATATGCAGGAGAAAGTGGAGATGGATTGGACACTCTTGGCTGAGGAGGCCGCTGGGTGACATCTCGCGCGCGTCAGACCATTGGTCGAGTGGAACCAGGCCTAAAGGAAAGCACGCGGCGAGTGGGACGTCAGTGTAAGAGTGACATAGAGGAGATCGTGTGAAGTGGAGTTGAAACAGTATGAACCAACATGGATGCATGTGAAAAGTACAGGAGAAGACAGAAGCAGGTGGCTACGTGCAGCTGAAGCCCTATGTTCCACTAGAAACCCAAGGTAACAATAATGATAATAAATAAATTCTCAAAAGCAGCTGTACAATTACATTTTATATACATAAGT